CTCTTCGTCAGGAAACAGTTCGCCAAAGTCCAACCGATCCTCAACGTGATCCTGGCCACCTGCAGGCCGCTCACCGTCAAGGAACTGTACCACGCGGTCTGGACCAAAAACATGACGCTGACCATGGAGGAGTTTCAGAAAAAGATGGACATCCTCTCCAAGCTGCTGGTCGACGGCCTCGGAAGTACCAAGATCCTCTTTCACTACAGCTTCGCGGAGTGGCTGCTGGATGTTAAGCACTGCACCCAGAAGTACCTGTGCAACGCGGCGGAAGGCCACCGAATGCTAGCCATGAGCTACACCTGTAGAGCCAAACAGCTAAAGCCCCTTGAAGTCCAAGAGTTTGCCCTCCACCTGGTCAACTCCAACCTCCAGATCGAGCCTTTTAACCTGGCTCTCTGGATGGTTTGGAACGGAACTCCGGCCAAAGACTCGCTGAGCACCTCGATACCGAGAGAGCAGGAGGTCCTTCAACTCCTGGTAAAAGCCGGGGCGCACGTCAACAACGAGAACGACCACGCGTCGTGCATCGTGCAGCAAGCCCTGGAGAGGGAGGACTCCATCCGGACCCTGCTGGACAACGGGGCGTCCGTGAACCAGTGCGACTCCAGTGGGAGAACCCTTCTGGGCAACGCTGCGTACAGTGGGAATTTGGACGTGGTCAACCTCCTCATATCCCGAGGGGCCAACATGGAGCTCGAGGACAACCACGGTCAAACGGCGCTAACGCTAGCCGCTAGGCAGGGCCACACGAAGGTGGTGAACTGCCTCATTGGCTGCGAGGCTAACATAAACCACACGGACCACGACGGGTGGACCGCCCTGCGTTCGGCGGCGTGGGGCGGCCATTCGGAGGTGGTTTCCGCGCTTCTTTACGCCGGCGCCAAAGTGGACTGCGCGGACGCGGACGGGCGCACGGCGCTGAGGGCGGCGGCGTGGGGGGGGCACGAGGACATCGTGCTAAACCTGCTGCAGCACGGCGCCGAGGTCAACAAGGCCGACAACGAGGGACGGACCGCGCTCATCGCGGCGGCCTACATGGGACACCGGGAGATCGTGGAGCACCTCCTGGACCACGGCGCCGAGGTCAACCACGAGGACGTCGACGGGAGGACGGCGCTATCCGTGGCCGCTCTCTGCATCCCGGCTAGCAAGGGCCACGCCTCCGTGGTTAGCTTGCTAATCGACAGGGGGGCGGAGGTGGACCACTGCGACAAGGACTGCATGACCCCCTTGCTAGTTGCTGGGTATGAAGGCCATGTGGATGTGGTGGACCTTCTCCTGGAGGGCGGGGCGGACGTGGACCACACGGACAATAACGGGCGCACTCCCCTGCTAGCGGCGGCCTCCATGGGCCACGCCTCGGTGGTGAACGCGCTGCTCTTCTGGGGGGCGGCCGTGGACAGCATCGACAGCGAGGGCAGGACGGTGCTGAGCATCGCCTCCGCGCAGGGGAACGTGGAGGTGGTGCGGACCCTGCTGGACAGGGGTCTGGACGAGAACCACCGGGACGACGCCGGCTGGACGCCACTACACATGGCGTCCTTCGAGGGCCACCGGCAAGTTTGCGACGCGCTCATCGAACAGGGGGCTCGATGCACCGAGGTGGACAACGATGGAAGAATCCCGCTGATACTATCCGCGCAAGAGGGACACTACGACTGCGTGCAGATCCTCCTGGAGAATAAATCCTGCATCGACCAGAGGGGGTACGACGGGAGGAATGCTCTCAGGGTGGCTTCCCTAGAGGGTCACAGGGATATCGTCGAACTGCTTTTGAGCCACGGGGCCGATATCGATTTCAAGGATGCGGACGGGCGTCCGACCCTCTACATACTGGCGCTTGAAAACCAACTGGCCATGACGGAGTACTTCCTTGAAAACGGCGCCAACGTGGAGGCCTGCGACACGGAGGGCAGGACGGCCCTCCACGTCTCCTGCTGGCAGGGGCACGTGGAGATGGTGCGCCTCCTGGTGAACTACCACGCGGACGTGAACGCCCGCGACAACGAGAGGCGCTCCGCCCTCCAGTCGGCCGCCTGGCAGGGCCACGCCAAGGCCGTGCGGCTCCTGATCGAGAGCGGCACGCGCGTGGACCACACCTGCAACCAGGGCGCCACGGCGCTGGGCATCGCCGCGCAGGAGGGCCACATGGAGGTGGTGCAGATGCTCCTGGAGAACGGAGCCGACCCCAACCACGCCGACCAGTTCGGGCGCACGGCCGTGAGGGTGGCGGCCAAAGGGGGCCACTCCGCCATCGTCAAGCTCCTGGAGAAGTACGGGGCCACCGCGGCCAACGGCTGCAACCCCTCGCCGGTGCACACCATGGAGGAGAAGAAGGCGGCGCCCCCGGCCGGAACGGGCAAAACGAAAACGCAGTCGCTAACCATAAAGTCCAGCAGCTCGGGAAGCACGGGCCTCCCCAACGGGCCCGTCCACGCCTTCAGCTCCCCCTCCGAGTCCCCGGACTCCACGGTGGACAGGCAGAAGTCCTCCCTGTCCAACAACTCCCTGAAGAGCTCCAAGAACTCCTCGCTGAGGACCACGTCGTCCACGGCAACGGCGCAGACGGTGCCCATCGACAGCTTCCACGGGATGACGTTTACGGAGCAAATCCAGCAGCATTCCCTGCCCCGGAGCCGGAGCCGACAGTCCATAGTGTCCCCCTCCTCCACCACAAAGTCCATCGGCCAGCAGCCCTCCTCCCCCTCCGGCGACTTCGACTGGTCCCAGTTGAAACCCGGCCTGAAATCCTCAAAGGGAACCAAAACGGGAAACGGGACCGCGAACAGCAAAGGAGCCCAGGGGGACAAGAAGAAGCCGAAGAACAGCGGGTCCACCCAGGGCCAGGTTCTGGAGTACGAAATGACTCAGTTCGACAAGAGAATCGCGCTCAACAAATCCGTGGCCAACATGGCGGGGAAGGACCCTCCCTGTAAGATCGTGATCGGGGGTCCGGTCCAGCAGGACCGGGTCCAGGTCCCCGATCAGTTCTTCATCCAGCAGCAAAGCTGCGCGGAGAAGAAGAGGAACGGCATCATGACCAACCCCAACTACCACCTGCAGGGGAACCAGGTGTTCCTGGGCCGGGTGTCGGTTCCCCGGGGGGGGCAGGGCAAAGGCCACCAGGACGTCCTGGAGAACTACCCCATCGGGGAGACCGAGCTTAGCCTCAAACAATCCCTGAAACTGCAGATCGAAGGGTCCGACGCCGCCTTCAACTACAAGAAGGAGACTCCCTTATAGCTGGTAAGAAGGCAGGTTTATTTGTACAGCACATTTCGTGTACAAGACAATTCAAAGTGCTTCACAGA